ATATAGGCATTTTAAACCCTTCCTACACTCTTGCAATATTCTAAACATTTTTTCTAAACTCTAAATGCTCTCAAACAGCACAGAATGTCATGATTTTAGCTCTTTGCCTCCTCTGTTCTTTGCCACCTGCAAGCGCTCTTGGCCACGCCCACTTATCCGCTCTGCATGGTGAACAGCTGATCAGCTGCAGTAGGAAGCTTATCCTGCAGCTCTGGGCTGCACAAATGTGCAGCAGGTGCTAAATAATTTTAAAAATCCCATGCCGATCGTGCGGCTCATCCATCAATCAGCCAGTTGTGCGTCATGTCCAATCTTATTTTGAAAACAGCGATAGAGCTAGTCCGTGATAACTGAACTGGAAAGTAGCGAGGGACTACTGTATTGCATAAAAATATTTTTGTCCAAACCATAATCCTACCATCACTGAGGGTCCAGTGACAACCACGATTACCTGAATATCATGGATTTGAGCACATTAGCACATAAACAAGCAGGGACATGATGGTACAACTTTTTCTATTTTATTTATTTATTTATGTTTTCATTAAGAGGAACTTTAAAATAGACTCTAATGTACTTAAATAAATGGACTGTACTTGAATAGCGCATTTCTATCTAATCAAGACACTCAAAGTGCTTTACAACACAATCTGTGCCCTCATTTACCCATTCATACAGCACTCTACTAGATTTCTACAAAGACTAATCAGCGTTTTAGATCACATTCATACACCGATGGGACACACATCTGAGGCAATGAGGGGTTCAGTGTCTTGCCCAGGAACACTTCAGCATGTGACTGCTGGTGGAATCAAACTCCCAACTCTCCCATTGGTAGATGACTGCTCTAACCAATCAGCCACAGCTGCCCCTAACTGTTAGCCTAAAAAAGAAGATGCTTTTAAACATACAGGTCTGGTAAAAAATAAACAAAAAAAAACTTTAAACTTGTATGTCTTCCATCAGAAGCCCACTGAATTGTGATCATTTGTTTGTCCAGCAGGTGTTATTATGTCCTTCGTGTCCTCTGCAGTCACTTGTGTTCTTCTACTTTTATAGAAACGCAGAGATGGTGTTTAATGATTTTATCTTCAATCTGATGCCCTTTTTATGGGTCCTGGGGGAGATGGCCAGACACCCAGTGGACAAATCATCTGCAGCTGTGTCCTAATTCCTCAAAGTGACACATTGAGGGCGCACGAGCGGAGACAGTTTGGTGCATTTACCAAAGCTGAGGCCAACTTAGTTAATGTTGGCTTACCAAAATAAAAACATGTCTGCTTAATATAGATGGACTGAATTTGGCTTTGATGATGAAGTTTAACAAACCTACACTAATTCTTTTTTTTTTTTATCTAAAGATTTTTAGTCAGTGTGCCATTTTAATTTTTTTCATTCAATCAACCTTTATTTATACAGATAAATCACACTGAGCCTCGAGGTCTCATTTACAAGTGAGACCTGTTTGGACATTGAACATTGTAACAGACTCTCATCCTTTGACCAAGGAAAGATAGCTTGAATTTGAAAAACAAACAAAAAAAAACACCCCGTACATAGGCACATAGTGACGCAGACATTCCGCAGGGGAGGGGACACGACAAGGGCGGTGAGCGTGTCCAAGGACACTCCACTCCAGAGGCACTGTAGGAGTTCTGATGAGAATGGTACAATCAGCCAGTTCCCTCTGGTGAGATCCGTAAACACTCTCGAGGGTACTGAGGTTGACCAAGAACAGCGCCAGGGGGAATCCAAGAGTCCTGAAATGATGACACAATGTTTATTCAGTCGGGCCCCTCTGATAGGTTTGCAGACTTCCTCAGTGGGAGAGGGGAGGGGGCAGAGCATCAAGTTACAGGGCTTCCAGGCGAATTGAGATAAGGTGGCCTGTCAAGGCCAGCCGGGGAGCCAAATTCAGATAAACATTTGTTTTGGGGACAGGTAGAACTCTACTGATTTATGTCTGCCTTGAGTCTTTGCTGGTCCTCACGGAGGACCTCACAGAAATGTCCAAATTAAGTGGACACACCGCTGATCCATGCCTGAAAGTATTCCTCGAGACCTGATCCATCCTACCAGCGAATCCTAGGGGCCGCAAATGGCCTGCAATTCTCACAAATCACATCCAATTTGCAGTTCAGTTCGCAAAGGAATTGAGTCTGGGTGCTCGAGGCACAAAGCAAACCATCGCATAAGGCAGGCAGCCTGACCAGGGTCAAATTTGGTGCCAACAACTTCCTTGTTTGTTGACAGACCAGGACCCAGCCCGTTCTAAAAAGCAGGAAACCTGTTATCATAAATCCAATTATATATGTATCTTCAATATCCTCGATGGACAGCAGAGATAGACACATCACCTTCCACTCGCTCCAGGAATCAATGACATATCCAGCTGCATGCATGTCCTCAGGGCAAGTCGGCTCACCTGAAGCTTGTCTTCTCTTCAAGAAAATTTGATCAATTGTGTTGAGAGACCAGCTGACCAGATCCAAGACCAGCTGACCAGATCCAAAATAATTATTGACCTGATTTCCATTTGCCATAATTATCTTTTGAGTGATGTTAAGATGTGTGCTTAGCAACGATTAAAAAAGACCTGGGTGTCGACAAAATACAGCAAGTGGGGGATAATTTCAACATATTTTTCACATTAAAGGAATAAAAACTCTTGGTATTCAACCTAAATTCAGCCAAAGGTACAATAGTTTATGATTTTTATGTGCATTCATGAAAAATAACCCCAAAACAAATATTTTGTCAGTAACTGAATCTTATTCTTAAATCAATCAAGCTGTGTTCTAGCTGCTGAGGATACAACTTAAGGCTGAAAGACCCACGAACAGCAGCAGATGAAGGCAGCTGCAGGGAACATTTTGTAAAATACAGCAAAAGAGAAAACTGAGATGTTCATGTGTTCCAGACTTCCTTCATCATCTGCAAGGCTTTCTTAACAAAGCCATCTTAAAAAAATTAATAAATAGTGAGGCGTGTTTGCAGTGGCACCTTCAGAAAGTCTGTAGTGGGGTGGCCATGTGGGGGCCACATGATGTGGCTTAACAAAACCAAAAGCCACAAGAGAACTTCAGGAGCTTTGTTCTGTTATAGGTTATTTGACAAATACAGTAGTCCCTCATTTATCGTGGGGGTTCCGTACCCTGAATCCCTGCGATAAGTGAAAAACCACGAAGTAGGGATACAGTAGTCCAAGTTCAAGTTTAAGTTCAAGTACAGTAAACTTTATATTAAGGCTTTAGAAACCCTTCCCACTCTTTTGGAATGTTCTAAACTCTTAAACCTGCATCATTTTAACAACATACTTTACTAAATTTTACTTACTAGCACTGCAGAACAGCAACAGCTCTGGTTCTGGTCCAACTCTGTTTTATTTTGACTCGGTTTGTTTCTGCAGACCTATCCTGCAGCAAAGAAGCCCACAAATCAGTCCTCTAAACTCTTAATTCTACTAATTTTAACAACATACAGTACTTCTACATAAATTAGCTACAAAATTTTTCATACAAGGGCTTTGCAGAACAGGAGCGGTTCGGTTCCGGCCGACCCGATAGATGAAAAAACGTCCTGGTGCTGCATAAATGAAGCCCACCACTGGTGCTCTAGGAGCAAGGCTGCCCAGGATTTAATCCACCACCTCTGGCCCGGTCCAGACCGGACTGTTCAGTTGGTACATGTATTTATTAAGAAACTGTCAACACTCAACTTATTAAAGCTTGTCTTCTCCTGAATTTATATACATACACATATATATATATATATATATATATATATATATATATATTTTTTTTTTTTTTTTTCTTTTTTTTAAAGAAGCATATTCACTCAACCTTTATTTATACAGGTTGGTCTCATTGAGTCACGAGGACTCAAATGCAAGAGAGACCTGCTTTAGACAAACCACAGATAAGGTACAGATTTATTGCAAATGGGACTCTTGCGCACGTCTGACAAATATGAAATGAATATTATTTTTACAAGTCCTATGCAGTCATCGTCCTCTTGACCTTCTGCTAGGATTTAAGCGGCTCACTTCAAACCTGCTCCCACCTGCCTTACAGCAAACATCATCGATTGCTTTTGACACCTGTGCGTTTCGTGTCCTTGTGGCTGTGAGACAAGAACCGCCATCTTTTGACTTCTGAAGGGAAACGGGGGATTTGTGTGTCAAGTTTACTTTGAAATATGTGCAAACATGACCGTGGGATAAACGGCTCAGAAGCTGTAGAACATGTGGATGTGCGTGTGTGTGGCATGTTAATGTTGCATGTTCCCATGTTGCTGCAGATACACAGCCGTGGCCATGCCGCTGCTCTACAACACCAGATACAGCTCCAGGAGGAGGGTGGCCGTGATGATCTCTGTGGTCTGGTTCCTCTCGTTTGCCATCTCCTGCCCTTTACTGTTTGGACTGAACAACACCGGTAACTGTTCTACTCGATTCTTCTTCTTAAGTTACTCAGCACCTCTCAGCTAAGGTGTTGCTCAATGGAGTCACTCCATAAAGAAGCACACTGAAACTTAGTCAGGCATGGCAGGATAACTGTTAACAGGAGCATGTGACGTTCGTGTGCTTCCTGCTGCTGGTTTTACTGCCAGCTAAAGAAAGTTATGCAAAGAGGCTGTGGACTCTAGCTGCTTATGTTTTCTGCTGCATCGCCCTCAGCACTTTAAAATTATTATTTTACATTATAATCTGCTCACTCATGGTTTGCAGAGGAGTCCACAGATGAGTCAGAGCAAATAAATAAACGTAAACAGTAGTTTGCATCTGCTTTGCTGTCGTGGCAAAAAAACATTTGTATAGCTGAGATCAGCAATATTTATGCATTTTAACAAAACTTGGAAAATTTGTAAGTGATTTTGATGTCACATGACAGAATGCCATTTATATGATAACAACTACAACACATAAGCTTAAACTATATGTTTGGTTACTAGATGATAAAAAATATCCACCTATCCATCAATCATCTTTACCCACTTCTTCCTTTTTGGGTCACGGGAGTCACTGGTGTCCATATCCAGCAAACACTGTGCAAAAGGTGGGGGACACCCTAGACAGGTCTCCAGTCCATCAGTATTCCTGTAGGAACATGAGGATAGATATTAAACCTTTGTTTAGAATGTGTCTGTCACACAATAATCACAGTCTAATGTTTTCAGGCATAATGCTCTGATCTTGCTTTTATAACAGATTTTTTGTAAATCCAGAAAATGCCACCATAATAAAATAAAAATAAAAACATCATAGCTTCATTTTTAGTGGCTGCTTGGTCAACCATGAGATTTACAATCTGTTCTGCATGTGTGTCATGGTAAAATGCCAATTTGCAAAACTAGAATTTAGTTTCTGACCATCATGGCTGTTTACTACATTTCGCTAAGATTCAAAACTGGTTGTAACTACTATACACATCATTGCACCCTGTATTTACTGGTTAACTGGACATCATTAACTTCACGTGGACTCTCTCACTGGTACATTTTCATATTTAAATCACTTCTTGATCTTTTGCTTTCATACATCTCCTCCTATGTCACTCCATGAGTGCAGCTACAGCGTGCGCTCTCAGGACATTATTACCTGCAGTGTCCTCTCAGTGAGGACTGAACTTGGCAAAAGGGCTTTCTCCTACTCTGCTCCTGTTTCCTGGAATATCTTGCAAAATGATCTGAAGCTCTCGACCTTGACCTCTCTAAGTGGCTTCAAAACATCTGCTAAGTTCCAGGCAAAAAACGATGTGGACATGTTCCTGTTTTTGGTTTTCTACACCGCTTTATAATGTAGCTGTTTTTGTTTCATTATTTATTTCATTTCTTCTATTTATTTTTCATTTTATTTGCTTTTTTATGTGGTTTTCTATTGTTGTCTGTATGGACCCGACGTCAGAGGGTGGACCCGCCACCCATTCAGGTATCCTCCCGCCCCCAAGACGGATTACGACACCATTTAGATTGAACCTATGCACTGCATTGACTTAAGACAACCAGCAGAGGGTGCTGTAAGCGATTAAACTGGACTTTTAGAGGCAGTAAAGAAGACAAACTAGTTTTCCAACTGCTAATCACAAGAAGAAGAAGGTGAAGAAGACACTTTGATAAGGTAATATGCCAAAAAGAGGGATTGCTTACTCAAGAGTCTGAAAAGATGAACCTGTTCAATGCATTTTTACTACAGCGAGGCAGAAAATCTGATTATTGAGTTCGATGATTTTTTTTTTAACATGGATTTTCCAGAGTTTTATTTATTTATTTATTTATTTGCATGTCAGGTTTGTTCAACCAAAATGTGGAAATGTTAAAAATGTTCAGGTTTTTTTTTTTTTTTTTTTTTTTTGACATACTCACTTCTCTTCAGGAAAAGTTCATGAACAGTTGCCTTCAAGTTTCTGTCGTTCGTGTGTTTCAGACACGATGATTAAAGCTAGTTTCTAAGATTTATGCAAAAATTGTTTATGCAAACTTGAGCACAATTTCTCAGCAGTTTCTGGTGACTACATGACACTGTTCAAGTTATTTGTTTGGTATTAATAAACAACATATGGTTATTTCAGTTGCAAGGTTACGTAAATGTTTATGTATTTATATGAAATAAAATGACCATTTACTGGGCCCACACAAAAAGTACCTCTTTTGTGTTTTTTCTTTAAAACAGGTCTCGCTTGTAAATGAGTCCTCATGACTCAATGAGACTAACCTGTATAAATAAAGGATGAATGAATGAAAAATGGCTTGTTAAAACTATGGCTGTATTTTATTTTATTTTTTATCTTCTTTTTTTCTAAACTTGTGTTGGAAACAGTTTATGCTCAGCTGAAACAAGACAACGCAGCACTTTGCAGCATCATTTGTTCCCACTGATGGACTGAGAGATGACACTTTGTGAATGAAATCACACAATCTTTGATTAGTTTGTTGCCTCACGCAGCAGCGAGGGTGGCAGCTGCTAACCCCAGACGAACGATGGCGACTGTGGCGAGGGACTCGAGCTTTGAAAATGCTCAGCCTGAGCTCAAAGGAGAGAGCTTTAGAATAAATGGGAATTATAAAGTAATGTGAGAGCTGACACCCAACAGCCAGAAACAGCAGGAGACCGAATGATGTAAGGCAAAGTGAAAGACGAGCTCACCCTCCTCAGTGACGGGTTGCACACAGATTACAACATACAGCTGGAGTTGTTGTTTACTTGTTTGTTCTTTTATGTCGTGTCCAGTGTTTGTGCTTAAATGACTGAATTGCATCAATGATGACTTTAAATAAAAGAAGTCAATAATAAAAAGCATTTTGTTAATAAAAAAAGGTTTAATAATTAGTTTCATTACACAAAATTAAACTGTGGTTTCAAATTCAATATGAAGACAAAGGAAGAGACAGGCAGAAAAAAAACAAACCACATTGTTAATAAATCAAAATGCTCATGAGGGATTACTTTGATTGCTTTTCTTTTTTCCTGTTTTTTCATTGTATTTATGCAAATCATTTTAAAAAAAAGCTTCAGAATAAATTAAATCATCTCATAATATGTACTTCTGTTACATAAAAGATCATTCAGTCTCTGCAGCACTTCATGCTCTGACAATGCTCCGTTTGTGTGAGGCAACATCTTTGTTACTGGTTTTGTTGCATTAAAAATGAAACTTCTCCAGCAATTTGCTAAAACAGTTTTAGTTTGTTCCCTTGCTTTACTAGTAATGACACATTTGTAAAATAGTTGTAATCCTTAGTTATAAACTGCCTTCCATTGTCCTTGAGCACAGTGATCATTTTATATTGAGCTGGATATAAAACCTAATATGTATATTAGGTCTAATATTTAGGCGTTAGGTTGGGGTTCAAATGAGCAGCGTGGTTTTTTCTTCTCTTTTTAAAGCATGCATTCTGAGTTTGATTCTTCAAATAAACCCAGTTTTGTTCCAATATATGGAGATTTGTGACATGAAGCCCTTTGTTCCCTCTTCTCCAGATTCATGAATAAAATTATAATTATTGTTCAAATATATAAAAAATTTAATTTGAGAAAATAAAGAATCAGAAAGGGATTATCCCAGGGTGGTTTCTGACTTTTGGGCTGCATTTTTTCAAGCCATTCCTTCTTTTTTACTGCACTCGCTTAATCCAGTGCAGCGTGACATGGAGATGGTGCCTTTTTCCAACAGTCAGCCAGCGAGAGCAGGGCACCCTGGACAGGTCACCTGTCCTTCACAGAGACACTTTGTACAGATGAGATACATGGCTCTTAGAGGAAACGGAAGAAAAAAAATTAAAAACAAGGAATGGCTCAACTTTTTGCAACTCAGTTCCCATCATTTGTTAAAAAGAGCCGATCAAAAGATTTGTAACGTTCATGAATGTCACATCTCTTTCCCTCAGAGACAAATGAGGCAAACAACCACACATGTTCACATCTACAGTCCATTTTGAATCATCAGCCCACCTGACACCAATGGCTTTAGACTACTGAAGGAAACGATTTTAAAGAAAAAGATCCAATCTGATGATCAGACTTGCATCAGCACTAACTACAGCTCCACTGTCCATCCATCACTGCTCCACTGTCCATCCATCACTGCTCCA